AGAGGACCGTGTGCCTGGGCCATCCATCCGCATTGTGGATGTGGCAGGGAGCAGCACCTCCTATTACTGTCTTTGCCCCGTACAGCCCAGCAGACAGCACCCAGGTCAGGGCGCTCTCTCACAGAACAAATGAAGCATCTGGCACTGCTGAAAGCTCAGCGGCTCAGCCTCCTCCCCAGCACGAGGCCTGGAGGTGGGGGTGTGGACCAGCATCTTCCAGGGATGCCTGGGGTGGGAAGCTTCCTCGACCAGGCTACCTCTGTGGCCCTGGGACACATCCGTGTGATGGGAGAGGTGGCCCCTTCAAGGTTTTGGTGGGATCGACATGTGAAGCAGACCAGGCCTGTGCAGGCAGAGCCTTTTGGGCAGGGATGATTCTGGGTGGTGGCTCTGGGACCACTACTGATGGGTGGGATGGTTGATGGGATGAGAGCTTCAGTCCAAAAGTTAGGACACTAGATGCTAAGTTTTTTCAGGTGACCTTGGCCGGGTGGTAAAGACAACAGAGGAGGGAAGGCAGGGCAGCCTAGGAGTTGGCACAGGAGGCCTAGAGCAGGGGGCTGAGAGCCAACTGCCTGACCCTTCCCTGCCTCTTCCCCACTGTGTGGCAGTGAACTTGCCCTTCAGCCTCTCTGTGCTTCATTTGTCTACTCTGTAAAATAGGAATGATAATGGCACCCTCTTCATTAGGAATAAAGTGCACAGGTTAGCTCCGCGTCTGGCACAGTCACCAGTTGCTGCTGCTGCGGTAATTCTGTCTGCTTGGGGTCTCACGTGCTTGGCCCCAATGCCTTCTGTTTATTCTTGGAGGGAATGTGGGTAAGGCACTTGGTACATTGCTTAGTACACAGGTGCTCAATAAATGTGGCTGTCAATAACAATGACGATGAAAATTGTCACAGCAACCCTTCAAGGTGGGTATGGGGGCCCTGTCTTCCAGATGAGGCTCTAGGCCCACAGGGAGTCACTGCATAGGCAGGACTAGAGCCTTGCCTTGTGCTGCGTGCAGGGCGAGGAAGGTGGGCAGGGCAGCCACTTGATGTCATGGGTGGCCAATCTTCCCCTGATGGGGATGGAAGGGGTGCCAGGTCTGGATAGAGGGAGTTATCAGTCAGGATCAGATAGGTTATTGCAGAAACCACCCCTAGGTTATTGCAGAAACCACCCCCAAATCTCAGCAGTTTAAAATGCTAGAGACTCATTTTTCACTCCTGCTGAATGCTGATGGCAGGCTGGTCGTGGCTGGGTGCAGTGGCTCATACCTATAATCCTAGAGCTCTGGGAGGGCCCAGGTGGTTGGATTGCCTGAGCTTAGGAGTTCAAGACCAGCCTGAGCAAGAGCAAGACCCTGTCTCTACTAAAACTAGAAAAACTAGCCAGGCTTTGTGGTGGACGCCTGTAGTCCCAGCTATTCAGGAGGCTGAGGCAAGAGGATCGCTTGAGCCCAGGAGTTTGAGGTTACTGTGAGCTATAATGATGCCACAGCACCCTACCTAGGGTGACTGAGTGACACTCTTTTTCTTTTCTTTTTCTTTTCTTTTTTTTTTTTTTTTTGAGACAGAGTCTCACTATGTCACCCTTGGTAGAGTGCCATGGTGTCACAGCTCACAGCAACCTCAAACTCTTGGGCCTAAGCGATTCTTGTGCCTCAGCCTGCCTTCTGGCTGGTGACTCTGGAACCACTACAGATGGGTAGGATGATTGATGGGATGGGCCAAGCAGCCGGGAGTTTAGTCACAATGCCTGGCTATTTTTTGTTGCAGTTGTCATTGTTGTTTAGCTGGCCTGGGCCGAGTTCGAACCCACCACCCTCAGTGCATGTGACTGGTGCCGTAACCACTGTGCTATGGGCACTGAGCAGAGATTCTTTTTCAAAAAAGAAAAGAAATTAAAAATTTAGTTCCTTAGTCACACTAGTCACATTCCAAGTGCTCAATAGCTGCATGTGCCCAGTGGCAACTGTATTGGACAGCACAGATAGAAGACCTTTCCATCATCACAGAAAATTCTACTGGACAGCGACCTAGAGCAGTGCTTTTCAACCATTTTTATCTCATGGAACACTTGGACCTATAGTTAAATTTCCATGGCACGTTAAAATTATGTAGATCCAAAAGAAGATTAAGAAAAAGAATGTATTGGGGTGGTGCCTGGGGCTCAAGGAATAGGGTGCTGGCCCCATATCCTGGGGGTGGCGGGTTTGAACCTGACCCCAGCCAAAACGCGCAAAAAAAAAAAAGAAAAGAAAAAGAATGTATTTACCATGCTTTGAACTTCTTCTGAAAAGAATTTAATTAATGATCTTTAAAAATTTCTGTGGCACACCTAAGATCTTTTCATGGCACACTCTTGTGTCGTGGCACACTGGTTGAAAATCACGGCTTTAGAGGCTTGGTGCCTGTTGCTCAGTGGTTAGGGCGCTGGCCACATGCACTGGGGCTGGCAGGTTTGAACCTGGCCTGGGCCTGCTAAACAACAATGACAACTGCAACAACAACAAAAAAAACAGCTGGACTCTGTGGTGGGCACCTGTAGCCCTAGCTATTTGGGAAGCTGAAGCAAGAGAATTACTTAAGCCCAAGAGTTGGAGGGTGCTGTGAGCTGTGATGCCACAGCTCTCTGCCAAGGGCGACATAGTAAGACTATCTCAAAAAAAAAAAAAAAGAAAAGAAAAGAAAATCGTTCTAGAGGAGAAGTTCTCAACCAGTGGGTCGTGACCCCCAGGGACTGTATTAAAGGGCCACAGCATTAGGAAGGTTGAGAACCACTGTAATCGAGAGAGTCTCACACCGAAAGGTCAGTGCTCCAGCCTGCAACAAATGCACATCATTTTTTTTTGAAACTTGCATGAAGTCCAGGAAGTGCACTGGCATTCCAACTATGTGCCCAGTAGGTGAGGAAACCCAGAAATATTTAGGGAACACCATAAAGACCACCTAAATAGTGGGTCTGGGTCAGTGTGAGGTCAGAGAGCAGGAGGGAGATCCAGTGGACAGGTTGAGAAAGGAGAACTTAAGAGACCAGCCGAGGCAGGCAGAAGACATCTTGCGGGCCTTCTCAGTTTGTGGGTGGGGGAGGCATATGTGTTCAGAGACATGCTTTCCAGCCCCGGGCATTGCCCCTGTCCAGAATAAATGCCCTAAGGAAGGTGGCGGCCTAGGGGCTACATGCCTGGCAGAGGAAGGGGTTAGGGAGATAGTAGGAGGGATGCAGGTGAGACTTACACACCAACTCTGCCCTTTGTCAGAAACCCTGAAAAGCTGAGGATTGTATGCTTTCTTGGTAGAACTAGGCACAAGCCCACTGATGTATGCTATGAGGTTGGCACTGTCCCCTGTTTCAAGACTGGGGCATGACCGAGATGATGTCTAAAGGACCCTGGCTCCACTGGAGCCAGAAACCAGGCCTGCCCCCCTGCCACAAATCCCCTCCCTCTGCCTTTCCTGTTCCCTTCAGCTAAATAGATCAGAAGGAAAAAGTCTGTTTGATTTTAATCTCAATGCAGGACACTGGAGATTACATTTTCCACGGAAAATGTCAGCCGTTGCCTAAAATAGGACTTTGGAGAAAATGCTAGAAAGTATATTTTTAGGTTATAATTTCCCTCCTGGATTCCTGCAGTCCAATGGGCCACTTGATACTATCTCTGGTTCAGATGCCAGATGTAGACCCTAAACGTTCCAAACAGGTGGTTTAGGGAGAGGGCTTCCCACAGGAAAGAAATACTTGCTGGCCATAGACAGGTGGAAACATGCAAGGACCTGTTTCTAATGTCAGGAAGGAGGAGGAGAAAGTGAACCAGGCAGGACAGTGGCCTCAAATTCCGTGTTGCTAACAAGCCCCTGGGAGGTGCTGATGCTGCAGGCCTGGAGACTGTCCTCTGAGCAGCAAAGGGCAGAAGCAAAGCTCAGCTAGACCATGGCCCCAGAGCAGGGGGTCTGCCCAAGTCCACCCTCTGGGGCCATGAGACACTCTTCCTTGCTGTGTGGCCTCGCCCAAGCCCCTTCTTCATTCTGAGCCTTAGTTCCACACTGTGAAACAGGGCTCAAATCCCAACCCACCTCCCCTTCGGGCTGTTGGGATGATTCAGAGACTTAAGGTATGGGAGGCAGCCTGGTACAAAAGGTGCTTGAGCAAGGAGGTGAAAAATCACGAAAGGGAAGCAGATGCTATTCCTCACACTTGTGTGGGACTGGGGCTGGGCACGTGGGTGGAGCTGGGGGGGTCCTCACTGCTGGGATACTGGCACTGGTAGGGCAGGGCTCAGAGGGTTGGCTCAGCTGCAGACCTGGTCCAGATGGTCTCCAAGGAGCAGGGATGTCAGAAGCAGGATAAGCAGAGAGAGCCTGAGCCCATGTTCTAGGTCTGAAGAAGGGGCTACCATGTAGGGGAGACACTGAGTAGGACTGCACAGCCATGAAAACTATTGACTCACAGTCCTTTCTCTTCTCCAGGCCTTAGTTTCCCCTCTGTGAAGTGGGGAAGGGCTGGACCAGGAGGGATGGAGGGGGTGGCTCTGGTCTTATCCCAAGGCAAGGCAAGCTATTGAAGGTCTTCCTCAGTCTGGGGGAGGTGGGGGGTGGAGGTGAGGAGTGGAAGCATTTAAAGTCAAATCATTCTATGATCCCAGAGAGCCTGGAGTTAGCTCCAGTCCTTGGTGGGGCAGGCACAGTGGGAGGGGCAGCCCAGACCCTCCAAGGCCTCCTCCATAACCCAGTCATCTCTTCTTTCCTCATGGTTCCTGTGGCTGCCTGGATCTGCAGAACTCCCAGCAGAGGAAGGTGAGGCTGGGGGCAGGGGCAGGCTGCCAAGCTATGGACAGCCCCTCCTGGAAGAGCAAGGCTTTCCTGAGCCCCTCAATCATTAGAATCCTGGGCCCTCCCTCTTCCACCTGCTGGTAGAGAATGGGCCAAGAGGTCTCTGAGGCTGTCTGGGCTCTGAATGGGGAGAGTTGGTGGGTTGGGGGCCCAGCCTCACTTGGTGCCCCTGTTCCCAGGGAAGTCCCTGTGGGAGCTGGTGCTGGAACAGTTTGAGGACCTCTTGGTGCGCATCCTCCTGCTGGCAGCCCTGGTCTCCTTCGTAAGTAGGGCCCGCTATCCATTGTACTGGGGAGCCTGGGAGGGAGAGCCAGGCTGAGGCAGCACTCAGAGGCCAGGCTCTCCTCTCAGCTGATGGCATCTGGGGCCTGTTCCCTGGCCTCCCCTGGCCAGCTTAGACTTCTACTTCCCCTGCCCAAGCCCTGACAGCCCCCAGCCTGGACTCCCAGCAGCTCCCATCTGACCCCTCCAACCCCTTTTCCCTGGGTGTCAGAGTGAGCTTAGCCCAGGGTTTCTCTCCTTCAGCACTGTTGATATTTTGGACCAGGTAATTCTTTGTTGGGGTATGGTGGGGGGCTGCCCTACGCATTGCAGGATGTTAGCAGCCCCCCTTGTTCTCTGCCTGCCAGATGCCAGTCCCACCCCTGAGTTGTGACAATCAAAAATGTCTTCAGACATTGCCAGATGTCACAGGGGGGCAAAGTTGACCCGGTTGAGTGCTACTGCCTTTACCCTTCCATGGTTCCCAGTGCTCTTGGGACAGATCTCAGAGCTTGAGCCTCTCTTAGCCTTCTCATGGCTGCTGCTTCCTTTTGCTTTTCCCCCATCCCTGCCACCCCAAACCTTCCTGGACCCTCAAGACTATGTGGCCTCAGAGGGGGTTGGGGAGCCAGATGTGGTTGTCTTCGATAGCTGAGCAGCAGGGACTGACAGGTAATGCAGGGCTGGAAGTGGCCACCCAGAAGGACGGGATTCCTGTTCCCAACCCTCCTCCTCCCACAGGACCTGGGAGGAGGTCATAACTTGATGGCCTGTAGTGTGGAGCAGCAGGGCATGGGGGCCAGGGGGCCACTACTAGCTCTTCCTCCTGGCCAGCATCCTGTGAAACCAGGGACTCATACAAGAAACTGCCCACACAGATGCCTAAAATATCTGAACCAAAAGGGTGCTTATGCCCATCACAGGACAGATGGACCCCCATGGAGAAGGGTGACAAGTACTCCCTTAGGCCAGGAAGTGGCAATGGGACTTGAGCCAGGTCTCCAGCCTCTCAGGCTAGGCTCTGTGGCTGGAATGATGCTCCTCTAGCCAGTGGACCTGGAGCACGAGCGTGTATCAGCGTCACCTAGCTGGTTAAACAGATTGCTGTGCCCTACCCCAGGGGGTCTGCCTTAGGGGGTCTGGGGTGGGCCCCAAGAACTGTATTCCTCACAAGTTCCCAGATGCCACTGCTGCTGGTCTAGACAGTGAGGTGGCTGGCAGCTGCACACCTGCCCCACACCCTCAGGTTGGCCTGGTGGGATGGGGGCTGTTGGAGGGCCCAACTGTGGAGGGGGGCATCCTATGCTGAGGCCTTCTAGAGGAGTAGTCTTCTCCAAAGCCCAGGACTCTCCAGGGTGTCTGCTGTAAAGCTGGGGAGCAGACAGGAGATCCAGGGTGCAAAGAAAAGGAGAGCAGGTCCCAGTCCCCAGCGGAGTCTGGACTCACCTGCTCTGATCTTGCAGGTCCTGGCCTGCTTCGAGGAGGGCGAGGAGACCATGACTGCCTTCGTGGAGCCCCTGGTCATCATGCTGATCCTTGTGGCCAATGCCATTGTGGGCGTGTGGCAGGTGGGAAGCACTGTGCTAGGGCTGGGCCCTGGGTCTCTTGGCTGCCACATGTGCCTTCCACCTGGTACTGGAATCCTAAGGGTCTTTCTGCCTCCAACTCCATCCTAGGCCCCAGGAGTGTCACTTGGAGGGGGTAAGCTACAGGGTGTAGGAGCATCAGGGAGAGCAGGGACAGACTGCCTGCCCACCTCTGTTCTGCAGGAACGCAATGCTGAGAGTGCCATTGAGGCCTTGAAGGAGTATGAGCCTGAGATGGGCAAGGTGATCCGCTCCGATCGCAAGGGTGTGCAGAGGATCCATGCCCGGGACATCGTCCCTGGAGACATTGTTGAGGTGGCAGGTACTCCGGAGCCCTCCTTCTTTCAGTATGTGAGGCTGGGGAGCCCCATCCCTCTCTGTGCCTCCATGTTTCCAGCTATGTATGGTGGCTGCCAGAAGGATGAGACTGTGAGCCAGAGTGGCCGGCATCCCTCTGAGGGATCAGCTCAGTTGCCTGCCTTCCAACCCCAGCCTTGCTTCCTGGGAGCCCTCCTGGTTTTCCCCAGGGCATGATCCCCAAAGCCTACCTCAGCCAAGCCATTCTCCCTGCACAGTGGGGGACAAAGTGCCTGCCGACCTCCGCCTCATCGAGATCAAGTCAACCACGCTGAGAGTGGACCAGTCCATCCTGACAGGTGAGGCCCAGAGGCCAGGGCCCAGGGGAGGGATGGAGGCAGGAGCTGGGCGTGTCTTTGTGTGGGGCTTCTCACATCTGATTCCATGACCAGGTGAATCTGTGTCCGTGACTAAACACACACATGCCATCCCAGACCCCAGAGCTGTGAACCAGGACAAGAAGAACATGCTGTTTTCTGTAAGTCCTTAGGATGCCTGGTGCTTTGCCCAGACAATGATAATAAAAATAACAACATTAAGATTAATCAGTTAAGGCCAGGTACATGGCTCATACCTGTAATCCTAGCACTCTGGGAGGCTGAGGTGAGAGGACTTGAGCTTAGGAGTTTGAGACCAGGCTGAGCAAGAAAGAGACCCTGTCACCACTAAAAAGAGAAAGTTAGCCAGGCATTGTGGTGGGCACCTATAGTTCCAGCTACTCAGGAAGCTACTACTCAGGAGGCTGAGGCAGGAGGACTGCTGAACCCAGGAGTGTGAGGTGGCTGTGAGTGAGGCTGACTCCACGACACTCTAGCCTGGGCAACAGAGTGAGACTCTGTCTCAACAAATAATGAATAAATAAAAAGATCAATCAGTTAAGTCCTATTGGAAAGAACCTCATCAGTTATTGACAATGCATGCAATTTTATAGTAATAATAATAGCTTGCATTTACTGAGTGCTGTGTACCTGGCACATTGTTTTAAGCCCTTTACACATAATAGTTTAATCCTCATATTATTCTCCAGTGAGGAAGCAGGCACAGAGAGGTTAAGTAAATTGCCCAAGGTCACATAGCCAGTAAGTGGCAGAGTTGAGATATGAACTCAGACATCTTATCTTTGGAGATTTTTTTTCTTACCTACTGGGATACTCTATCTTAACCTGGAGAGGGGCAGAGCTTGCTTATAATCACACAACAGAAAACCCTTTAGACAGGAAGAGGGTTACAAAAGTGGTGGAGGAATAGTTCATTTCTCAGATGGGCATGATGCCCTGGCTCGTCTCAGGGAGAGCAATGGGTTCAGCTTTGGTGGAAGAGACCTGCCAGTGTGACCTCAGGAAGAATTAGCAAGTAATTCTCCCATTTCCTGGCTCGGCGCCTGTGGCTCAAGCGGCTAAGGCGCCAGCCACATACATCTAAGGTGGCGGGTTCGAATCCCCAGCCTGGGCCCACCAAACAACAATGATTGCTACAACTAAAAAATAGCCAGGTGTAGGGCAGTGCCTGTGGCTCAGTGGGTAGGGTGCTGGCCTCACATACCGAGGGTGGCGGGTTCAAACCCGGCCCTGGCCAAACTGCAACAAAAAAATAGCTGGGTGTTGTGATGGTTGCTTGTA